AATTTCTTCGCCTTTGCGGCAAGAATAGGTCCACTTATGGGCACGTTCCGGTTGCGAGTGGTCAAGAACCACTGGTACAGGGAGTCTTCAACGTCGCCGTACAAAGGATCCCTAACCCGCTTTCGCTGGTCGTCGTGACCGCTGGTGCCAGCCTTCTTCAAGACATCTCCAGCCTTGATGATTGTAGAAATCGTTGATTGAGACAGCTCGTATCTTTTTGCGAGGCTACCAACCTTGAATCCTTGTCGGAAATCCCGGTGAATTCGCTGCTTCACCTCCAGAGATATCGCTTTGCGCTTAGTCGGCGCCATTTTTACCTCACGAACGTACGAACGTGCGGAAACGGGGGAAAACTAGGAAGCGTTGCGCGGCGGCGGCCAAGCAAGCTCTTTCTCTCCTCCCTTCAGCGATTGCGATGACGATAGCACTTAGTTCCGAAGGATGAGGCTGAACTTTTTAAATCGGGCGGCGCCTCGCGTCACCTAGCGGATCTTTCCACGCCGACCGGTTTTTGATATTTTTACTAGTTTTCATGTCGTTCGCTTCAAGTATTTTAATTTTTCTCAAATTTCCAGGCAAATTTTTCGTGATAAGCACCTTCCGGGCGGCCAGAATTCTATCGTTGTATCCGATATGTCGCCGATAATTCTATCGTTATATATGGTTTATTTTTACATAGGGGCGATGGGAGAATTGACAAATCTAAAAAATTTGATCGCTATAAGCGATATATCGTTATATCTGGTATCGTTATAAGTGGATTACACTGTATTGAAATAAACTTTTTACAGTTTATGGTGCTTAATCTTCTCTTTGTAAATCTGGAGTTAGATTTGATATAGCTCATTATTTTAGGTTCTCGATGCAATGTACATGCAGAAAAAAAAACATGCTCTTGTGCCCATGTGAAGCATGGCAACACACTTAGAAAAGCCTAGTAAAATAAACTAATTCACTCCTTTTAAAATACTGAGTGCAATGAACAACAAAATTAATGTGTGCAACACTTCTTTAATTTAAAACTTATTTAAAATTGCAGAAATGCCATTTCAAGGAGCTAACAAATGTTTCCCAAAGTTTTCACAAATATAAAACATGCATTTTAACCAGAACCAGATAGTTTCGTTCTACTTATTCTAAAGTACACTTGAGATAGGACAATCGATCCTTTCCGGAATTGTGAAATGATGCATAGATTATGCGCAGCCGGCATTAGTTGGTCACATCGCTTTCAGCGTGGAGTCCGCGATTGATTCCAAGTTTGCGCCGAACACTGACGCAGCACTCGTGCGGAGTGTATTTCGATCCGAGTACACTTTGAATGCTGATGAAGCGCTCGGGTCCAATGCGTGCTCACATTGCATGACCAACTAATGGCGGTCGCACATAATCTATACATTTTTCAAAATAGGTCTATATTAAGAGCAGAAATTCTTGAGCAAAAAGTGTGAAGGTGCCCCAAAATTACATGAAAACATAAAAAGAAAATGGGTTTGAATGTCACCACAGAGCAGGGGTGGCCCAAATGTGACGCTGCTGCATAATATTGATTGGGAAGTCTTCTACACTATAATGAATTGCCTGGCAAAAATGTAAATAAACTTTTTTGGGGGTGTCAGTGTCCCTTTAATTTGTAATTTTGAATTAAAATAGGAATGGTCATGGCCCTAAACAAGACAACTTGAACATATTAGGTTTTATCACAGTGAAATTATGTTTGTCCCCATGTACACTCTTCACAAATTTTATGAAGCTTTTGGCGGTGATGCTTAAACTCCAAGTTGAGGAGGATGGTGCATAAACTTTGAATTATGTATATTTTGAGAATAGGCCTTACATGAAATTGCTTGGTGGTCTGACAACACTGAAAGCGTCGCCATTTTAATGTTGGCAAGCGTCATCAGTACCGAAGCACGGTGGAGGCATCGGAGACAATAGTACGGGCAGCGTGTGATGGCGCAGCAGATGCGTTTTCTGCCTTCTGATCGGGGAATATGTACGAACAGTTTAAAGAACCTACTGCAACTGTATGAAGAAATTCTCAAAGGCCTGTGCACGCTGCTGTACCATCCCACACTGCCCGTAGGGTTGTTTCCAATGTCTCCACCGTGCTTCGGTACCGACGACGCTCACCAACATTAAAATGGCAATGCTGTCAGTGTTGTCAGACCACCAAGCAATTTTGTATAAGGTCTATTGATAACTTCCTAATGCCACAGACCATTATGTTCCTGTGCACTGATCATATTAAGAATTACTAGGGAATCTTTAAGTAAAAGCTTAATTTGCAATAAAACATAATATACCAAAATTATGGCTCGCTTGTATGAGGTCCAGCAACATACAATCTGTTTGCCAAAATAGCCCGGCAAAAGGGATGCAATCATGTTTCATGTTTACAATCACTTCGAAACTAGCCACCATACAATAGTAGTTCTCTTTGCCGAGGTCTGTACAAACACCACCGGGAAGCAATGTATAAGGCAGTTTCCCAAGTTTCTGGGGCTGGGCTTATTTGTCAATGTTTATGGGTAGAAGGCACACGGTCATCTGTCCATTGTATTAAGAGATAATCCCCCCATACTGAAGTGCGGGATCCTCCAAGTAGGTCACGCAGTAGCTAGCTGTACATACTGGTATTGCGAGCAAAGTGTGTCCTGCTCGGCGATTCGGGAAAAATTGTGTTCGCTGAGCAGTGTGCTAACGTTAAGTTCTGGAATCAGATGGGCAGAAGTCCTATGAATATCTACAACACATTGAGGGAGGCTTACATTCAAAAGACTTCGAATGGCCTCAGCAACTGAGGGATGGCAGGGGAGAGGTCGAAGACCATAAGCGTAGCGGGCAGCCAGTTGCTTCCGGCTTCAGACTTTATAAAAACACAAGAATGGTCTTCTTAGCATACCCACCGTAACTCACATGACCTCTCTTCTCTAACATTTAACTGTTTCCCAACGTTGGCTGCAAACATCAAAATTGTTGGATATGAAGCACAGAAAAAGCCAAAAACACATCACTGGTTGAACTGAAAGACATCGTAAAGAATGGGTCTCAGAAATGCTTGGACATTATCTACACCCTCTGGGAGTAATCTGTTTTTACAGTAAAGGGGGGGGGGGGGGGGGGGGGGATATTTTGAAGGTGTTTGTTTTCCAGTTTCGTATCTCTGACAATCTGGACTTACGGGCCCAATCCAAGAACTTTTGGATCCTAGATCGTAGATGCCGAAATACAACTTCTAATTCTCCGACACAAAACCTGAATTAAACCAAGTCATCCAAAAAAAAAAAAAGCCATGAACTAAATATGTTTAAGAAAAAAAACTTTCTTTTTTGTTGCATGCAATGACAACACAGAGCATATTTAAAGGGTAACTGCAAAAGAAAAAAAAAAGTGTTTTTTTAAACAGCCTTACTGGGACAAGCATGTCTCAAAACGAACCTTCCGCGAAAGAAAAATTTTTTTTAGCAATATTTACGCCACAGGACGCAATTTAGTCGCAGTCACAACCTCTCCACATTTGAAACTCCTGCTCTTTCGACGCGTGCGGAGCAGCCACTCCGCAGGGGCGGATTTAGAGAGGGGGTCCGGATGTCCTGACCCCCCTCTTGATTCCTGCATGTGTAAAATTTAGGGCGTGAAACGAGGGAAAGGGGGAGGTGTTTCCTAAACAAATGGTACGCCGACCAACACCTGTTCCCCCCCCCCTCAGGAAATTCCTGCATCCGGCCCTGCCACTCCGTGACGTATAATACCAACTTTTTGTGGCGCGTGATTTAAAACGGACGAAATAGCCGCAAACTAAAATCAGTTCCGTGCAATAAATATTGCCCTAAAAAAGTTTGTTTTTGTCGGAGAAATTGTTTTGTGACATGCTTGTCTCAATTAGGTTGTTTAAAAACACACTTTTTTTTCTATGCAGTTACCCTTTAAGGGCAATTAGCAGTTTGCCTCGCATCTCCATTATTACAAATAACAGAAACAAAAAAAAACAAAACAAAACAAAACATGATTTTATGATTAAAGAAACACATATTCTAATACTTCGTACAACCAAACAAATAACTGTTAGGGGTGGCTCGGAGACAGTCTCTACAAACCCCACCATGATTGCAACTTCTCCAGAGTAAGACAGAGTCAGCACACCAACGTCGTTACCTCCAGAGCAAGAATCCTCACCAAGACTTGCTTCATTCCGGAGACGGTAGTGGTCGTGCTCTACAAGTGGTTAATGGACTTTCCATTTTTCATGCAAGGGAGAAACTCTATTTTTCGCATTACTTTGGAGCATCAAAAAAGAAAGGCCGGGGCCCCTCTGAAAAACAGGAATAAAGAGCAGTCTGCATAGTTGCACCAGAACTCCCATCAAAACAACCAGGTACAAAGACAGGCTCGAAACAACCGGAATGAAAACAAAAGCAAGACAAGGACAGGGCCTCTTCTGTGGCTTAGGTCCCACTAGCTATATATATATATTTTATCTTCGAAGTGGCTTCAAAACAAAGTAGTTGCTACATTTACCTTATTCATTCATCTTAAATTGGCTTTAATACTGCAGTGCTAACCCAGGCGCAGACAGGGGTCTGTAATTTAATTTTTTAGTCTTTCTTTCCTGACCACACCAACTCAAAATCTGCCGATGATGCACACTGAGGCTTCCAGAGACCATGAACTGATCACTTCGTGATTTCCAACAGAAACACTGCAAGTGCCAGGAATTCAAACTGCCCAAAAAATTTCGAAACAGTCGTTTACGGGGACGGGTCGCCTTGTAGCAAGACTTCAAGGAAACGACGCCAGTACCTGCCCAAAGCGACAGAGGTCGGCAAGACAAAGTAGAATTTTCATAATTTAAGTGCAAAACAAACGAAGGGCATTTACCCTGCCCCAGTTAAGGACTGAGGATTGATGTCGATCACCTGGAGATTTTTTTTTTTTTTTTCACGGCGCCTTGTCGGCAATAAGTATGCGTAGACGAGGCCTGTGGTTCCCTCACTCACCCACGGTCGATACGACTGTTGCAGCCGAATGAAGCAGAGTCCGGCGCACGGTGCGAACTGTCTTGTGCACACGAGCAGAAAGGAACTGCCTAGCGTTTAGAACAGCCAAATTGAATGATAAAGCACCCGGGCCAACATGTCGGGGGAAAAGCACACACGCAGCAGTTTCTGAACATCAGGCGACACACTCAAATTTCGGGAAGTCGCGCTATCATTCAACGTTGACACGAAGTTGCAGTTAAGACCAGTTTGGATGATTGACCCAGTCGATGTCCAGATGATACAGAGACGATCAAACCTTATCCAGAGGAGGCAACAAACACCAACACCCAAGACCGAAGCCACCAGAAGTTCCACTGGATTGGATTGGATGATAATGACTTCACTTATACTGGTATCCCTGGTGGGCAACGTTGCTGGTGGGATAGTTTTTGCTATTAAATTAATATTCAGTGCTTTATAATCCTTATATAAAATTCCAGTAAAAAATTGGATTCTTTATGGTTTACATTGGTGTTACAAAAAAACGTTGTTTTTGTTGTATGTACGGTATGCATGACGGCTTCAGTTTCGGTTTCTTTGTGACGTCCGCGGAAAAAAGCGCACCAGGAATGCGACGGGAAACGTTTTGAGCGGATGGTTCAATTTCTAACGGACTCGCCATTAAAAGGGCTGTGCAACAATATTCAGTTGGAATGTTTTTATACTCTACACGAGCTTACTGGCACTAGTGGGACTCCATGACACTCGCACGCAACGCCACTGGCCAAGATACTCCTTTGTTGCGGTGTAATTTCCGAGACAAAAGCGAGCGAAGCTTAAGATGAGTTTAAAAAAAAATGGGTTGTATGTATGTTTATACAGCCTAAAACTTGGTCTGCCTCAATGGGCGACTTGTCTCCCAGCTGTAGATGAGAAATTTAGCAAGTGCAGTACAATTGCTAGCCTGGAGTCTTTAACGTGCACCACGCAGTGATATATGACCGAATGCCGCTACGATGCTCATCCAGATCGAAACCGGCAGGGGTGGAGATTGAGCCCAGGATCCCTGGGTTCTGCACCGCGAGCTATCACTCCACTTACTAGCCCTCTCGCCACCGACCCGTGCCCGTCACGTCTGCGCTACCGGCGGTGGCCCTCTGTACGGAGGCGACTCTGCGCGTAACAACGTCGGAAGCTGAGCGCTCGTTCTTTTCAGTACGACGGTTCAAAAACATACCTGAGAGCGTCCACTTCGAATGAGCGACTGCTCGGTCTAGTGCGTTTGAATGTTCACCGCGACATTGAAGTTCAAGTGGTGGACATCCTGGATATTCTTTGCCGTGAACGCAGGCGGCTGTATCTTAAAATTTTGGCGCTTGGCATAAATAAAATGATTAAGAGAGCCTGTAAATTGCTTTCTGACATAACTAGTCACAGATACTCTTTTATTCGCGGCAATTTCCAGTCGAAAGGACGTCTGATCAGTACACAAGGTGTGCGTGAGCGCAGCCCCACTCGTTGCTTACAGCGCCATTGTGTTTACAATTTATTTAATATTCCTTACATCACTGACATTGTTTTACATTATCACAATGTGTGCGCTTTACTATGTTTACTTTAGTTTGATTTAATCATGTATTTCACTGAGCATAGTCCGCCAAATGTTTCCAAATATTCGTCTTTTTTATATATGAGATCAAGTTCCGTATCCCATCAAATGAACATGAATGAAGTGATATTGACCATTTTATTTATTCTAGCATTTTTTACCTCACAAACATTCCTGTTGGAGATAGTTTGCGCTCCTCCTTTACTCCGTGCAAGACATTTGACATTTTTTTTTCTTTTTTTTTTGGGGGGGGGGGGGGGGGGAGCTGCTCAACCCCCCCGAACCCCCCCCCCCCCCCCCCCCCCTCCCCTCTGCCTACGCCACTGCATGCCAATATTATAAACGAGCGCGTCCGAACACTTGCTTTAGCTTCAATAACTCCTCCAGACTCCAATGTTCTGTGCACTGCAGACCGCGGTCAAACGCTTGTGCCCCAGTTCTACCGGAACCGCTGGGTGATAAGACTGCAGGGAACGTTCTTTTGAGTTAGCAAATGAAAGCGTGATTGTAGCAAGTTCCATTAAGGACTCTCAGGAGCGTCAGGGCAAAATACGATTCGACTGCGCTTTGGCAAGAAATGTCGGCGAGGGCATGTGTTTTCTGACTTATGGTGTATCCCATTTCAAAGATATTAGTGATAAGGAACCTACACAGAATCACGCGCTACTCTGGGATTGTGTGTGTATGCACATCTAAACCACAACAATTTAGAAAAAAGAAGTGATTCCTTACAAGTAGATGTATTTCTGAACATGGCAGATTGGACATAGCAGATTGAATCATTTGTCTGATCACTGAAAACAGTATGGAAGAAATTACTGTGAGTGTAAAATAATTTTAATCAACAAGTTTTCATTGCTACGATTCCCGACATACTAGAACGAAAGCAACAAGTGAAAAAGTTTTGTAGCGTTAGCTACACTGGCCGAGGTTGAGCAGTTTCGCGTGGCTCTCATAATGAGCCGTGCTCATTATGCGGAGCGCGCGGCGCCGCCGCCACCGCGCCCGCCTCGCCGGTCTGCGGATTCCAGAGGAGTGACATCATAGCCGCGGCAGACGCACTGGCGCCGCCGCATGCCCAGCTGTGCGCCTCCGTTGCGCAGTAGCCAAGTCTGACGTTGCACCGGGGCCGCTTGATAGCGCCTCTCATTTCGTGCGCATCAGCTCGAGCTAAGCCTAAGCCACCGCAATTTTTTCAGTAAGAAATTTTTTTTTCTAGTTTTGACTTTATTGCAATAGGGCCTTACGTTTCACGTCTTTTTTCCTTTCTCTTGCGTTCTGCTTTTGTTGCAATGACGTCACGGAGCTAATAAACAGAATGGAAGCTTAGAAATGAAACTCAGCGGTCCAATTTTCCCAGAAGGGCACTTATTTTTGCTTCTGTTCTCTCTTATATAAAGCTTCCTCGTTTTACATTTCTTTGATTTATATACAAAACAAATTCACATCAAATGCCTCAAATAATAGACAAACTCTAAATAAAAAGAAATATTGTTTCGGGAATAGTTTTGTGAGAAAGCCTGGTTGGCTTAGATCATCAAAGTAAAACTGGTCTGATTCAAGATTACGATTAAAGCCTAACTTTGAATCACTGATTTTTATTCTTCACCTTTACTGAAGGTTATTTCGAAAACTACAACATTGATAAAAGGAAAGGTAGGGGGACTCGTGGTGAAGTAATGTGAAATTATACAATATCCTTTCACATTTGGTTGGACACCTGGTGCGTCACCCTTTATTATTCGCAGTGTTCTTCCATTCGTGCGCCATTTTGGTGCCACCAAATAGCGGCTCTTCCACTGCATCATGCGCTATAGGCTCCTTGCACTGACGTCACATCGCACACATTTGAACACCAAGTGAAAGGAGGAGAGGGAAGCTTCTTTTGTAAGAATTTTGAGTGACAGGTTAATCTTCTATAATCTTCTGGGAGGAGAATGGCGACGCCTGTGCAAATCCCGGAGGCAGAAAGGAGGATCCTGATAAGAGGAGAGCTCCTTCTTCCCCTCTTCTCTGGAGGGCAACAGAAATGACGTCCTGTGCAAGCCACGTATCGAAAGGCGACGTTGGAACGCACGTGACTTACCTAGCAGTGTGTCATTCTTTGTGGTGGCGTAGCTGGGCCATCCTTCATCCAAAGCTCTTAGGTCTTTTGTAGCCCCCCCGCCCTAATTGACTCCCCGAGGTCGCAACCAGTAAAGCGGGGGGTGCCAGGTGACGCCAGAGGTGCCTGACGTTAGGACAGAATAAAGGCATAAAAAACGGTGCCTTCAAGCTGTGACTTCCTAGGTCCTTGTTCAAATTCCAGATTCGAGACATGATGGCGGGGCGAGTCTCGTGAAAAAGGTGGACCTCCGTAACTGTTGCAGTCTGTTCTTATCATTTCTTAATCTAGACCTCAGAGGACTTCGCCTCCCATCACAACAGAAATCTGTGAGAATCGGCAAGCAAGCCCCTCCAACTGTGATGCGCCCTTGACGTTTTGCAAATCCGAAAGACAACGTTCTGGAGGCGTGACCGTGCAGTACCTTATTCACCGTGGTGCAATTGACATGGCTGGTATGCTGTCTTCTATGCAGAACCTGATTGTGGTTCTCCTTTGGAAAGAGAGCTATCATAGAGAGAAAGGTGATATTGATGCCGTATTATTAGGTCGCAGCAGCTATAGAATTGAACTAAGTGATGCATGGAGTTCCAATGAAAAACAATGCAAGGACAGAGTAAAACTGGACAAATGCAGGTTTGTATCTTTTTGGCACTTCCATTCTCTCCTTGTGTTTGTTAATTTATTCAGTAAGCAAAAAAAAAAAAAAATACACAGCGACGAAGTAAAAGAACTGAAGATATGCAGGGTTGTATTTGTCTGGCACTTTCACTCTCTCCTTGTGTTTATTTATTTAGTTACCTTCAGGTCCAAAAACATTACAGAGTACTGTGGTAAGGCACATAAGAATAAAAATAAAAACAAAGACCATGGCAACATAACAAAAAGAAAGAACAACTGTACAACACTTTACCAAAAACAACTCAGACCCAGCAGCTCAAAAACTCGAGTTAACAAAGATTTGGCTCCGACCAGGTGATTCCATGTTACAGAAGAGCTGTGAATAAAAAGAGCATGACAAATGTTTTGTTTGACAGGACTGAACAACATGTTTGTGATGGTATGATGGTAATCAATGCATACTGAAATTAATGGTCTTGATAGAAGCCACTTGTTCAGAATTTAGTAGTTACCTCACAAAACACAGACAATGTATTGGTCTGCAAAGTGAAAAAAGAATAATGATAAGCATACCTTAACCATACTTGAACAAAACAAAAGGTAACAATAATTGGAAACTATAAAACAAGATGTGTGATTTTGCATATAAGATTTTGCAATTTCAATTCCAAGCATAAATGTTTGCTTGTCATAGTTCTTTCTTAACTCGTCTTAGCACATTCCTATGCTGGAAGGAGGTTTATGCCACAAATGAAAGATTACTAAGGAATACTAAGACAATATTTACTTTCTTTTTTTTTCATGAACACAAACCTCTGCTGATCTGCTGTGTAGCATGCAAAACAAACACAAAAGGTTACATCAAGATACAAAAAGCTAATGAAAGATAAAAACAACTAATGCAAGGAAGACAACATAAATGCATAATAAGCATACTTACAAGGATAATCATTTACATAGGTGAATGAATTTTAGATGACAGAACTTGGTTCACATAATCAAATAGTATTGTTATTTCAATGACATTATAAAGAAGGAATTGCGAGAACTGGTTGAAGACCACCTACTGCACAAATATATATCTGGTTTTAAAATATTTTATGGAAACTTTCTGGTTTCATCTCAGCTCTACATTTGCTTCAGCACGTGCCCAGCTGCTTGAGTGCAGTGTCACGAAATGTGTTCAGCCAGAAGTATCCAGGAATGGTGGAAAATAAAGCACTCTGGGGCATGGCAGAACAAAAATGCACCTACCGTATTTCCTAGTGCGAGTCGCTTTTTGTTTTTAAAAAATTTCCGTCAGTGCATTTTATACAAGGATGCAACTTATATGGAATATTTTCTAAAACTAGGGGCCTAACTATGAAAAATTGCCACAGTGGTTGTATTCCTCATTCAATTCGTTGACGAGAATATTGAAACTTGCTCTCACTTGCACGTATATTGCAGTCATAGCACACATATGCGGGCTTTTCAATTCATCTTTGCAGTGCCAATCAAGCATTATAGGACTAACATTTTGTAACAGTAAAACACTCCCAGTCAATGTGAAGCTATTAATTTACAATTCTTTATTTTTTTTTTCTCCCCTTCACTACTGCAGCCTGGTCCGAAGTAAAACAATGTTTACAAACTTCCAAAATTATTTTTGTTACTGAAAAAAGTTATAACAATAAAATCTAATGTGCCTTATGATTTTCATACAGATAGTCTGTTTGAGAATTTTAAAGTGTTAAAAATGTCTGACCTCAATGAATACAAATTATGACCGAATTTAAAACTAGAAATAAAAAAAACACTATAGATTACTCTCAAACCTTGCGGTATTGACACCAAATCAACTCGTCTACTTTACTAGACATATGAAATATTGAAGTGTCGTTCCTTGTCATACTAAATATGGTACTCAATTGCTACATTATATTATACCTAAACTGTTAAACTTCCTTATAGAAAAAAAACATGGCTTAGAGATTATCTTTTACAAGGCCCTGCGATTGTTTTTTCTGTACTAGCAACTTCGGCAACTCATTTCAACTTTTTGTGTATGCTAGTGATCTCTGTTAGATAACATGTATTCTTCCCGTATTATTCTTATTTCTTGTTTGAAACATCAGTGCATGTATTTGATATTGTTACCATGTAATAATTTTTTTTTTTTAGCTGCTAAGCCAATGTATGGTGCTAAGGGCTAGTCAAGCCTCCACTGAGGTTCTTACCCTTTGCTCCACCATTAAACGTGGGAATAAACATTATTATTATTATTGTCATACAAATATAAGGTGTGACTTGTATAAAGGTGCGGCCTATATACCAAAGTTTGAATGTAAACAGCCGTTTATAGCTCAGCGTGACTAATGCACAGATGTGATTTACATTTTGGAAAATATGGTATATGCTCATTACAATGGTGACTTAATGGTTCTCTATTAGTGATGGTTCCCTTTGCAGTTCTGACTTTTATAGTGTTAAAAGGCAGCCAGTACTGGCAGGTAATAGATGATTTATGAAACAATCAGTTACAGGTGGTCCAACCAAGATGGTCTTGAATAAAAGGGTAAAACGACACTACAAATAAGCCAAGCTACACTTCCCTTTACTACATGACGGATGTCCCTCACGGATGATGCTCCTTTTGATGAGCATTTAAATAAGCTTGCTGCACAAATTTTTCGCCACACTGCTTGCAATGGAATGGTGGGTCTCCACCGTGAAGTACCTCGTGACACCTCAACTGGCGCCGCCGGATAAACGCGGCCCCACACGTTCCGCACTTGTATGGTTTTTCACGCGTGTGGACTCTTATGTGACGCTTCAAGTCACTGCTTGCCACAAATGCCATGTGGCAAGTCTGACACTTAAATGGCCTTTCCCCCGTATGAAGCCTCACGTGAGCCTGCAGGCTATTTTTGTGTGAAAATGCCTTCTGGCAAGTCTGGCACCTGAACGGCTTTTCACCTGTGTGAATTCTCTCGTGAACCTGCAGGTTACCCTTCAGTGCAAACACTCTGTGGCAGATGCGGCAGCTGAAGGGCTTCTCGCCCGTGTGCGTTCTTTCATGCTTCTTGATGCCCGCACTTTGACAGCTGGAGAAAGGGCAGAACCGGCACTCATACTTCTTCTCGTGGTGCGGGTGTGCGATCGGCTGCCCCACGGTGAACGAATCATTCTCAGAAGCGTGTTTGCCCTCGACGTCTTCACAGCCAGGAGCCTCTTCTTTGACTTTAATGGCTTTCGTGACAGACACTGCGAGAAACAAGACATTGTCTTCAACAGGAGTTTCTTTTACCAAGAGTAGCAGCTTGAAGACCAAAGTCTATTTGAGTGTCAACACAGGTGTAGTGGGAGGTGGTTGTTCACTAAATGGGTGCCACACTCCACAAAAAACATTGTTCTTAGTGCCTGGATAGGACACATCTGTCACAAAATAGACTTCGAAAAAACAAACAAAAACATTTAGCATATATTTATTTTACCAGACTCATTTTTGAGTTAGGTGCTTTTGTTTCAGGGTCAACGCCTCGAAAGCAAACCACGTTACAAAATTGTTCCGAACTCCAAATGTGTCTTGCAACATCAATACTGCATTTATATATTTTCAGGAAAAGTACATTTCCTGATGTACATACCCAATCCGGGCACTTAAGAATTGTTTTGTGTGAGTTCAGCATCTCTTTAAAGGGGCACTGACAGGTCAAAATCATATAGTTTTTTTATTATCCAAAATGATAGAAAACGATGCCTGGACATTACCCTCTAATTCGAAACTTGGGAACTTAGTATTTGTGAAGAAACAATTCCCAAAATCCAAATTTGAGGTTCCCGCACGATCCACGCCAGTGCAGTAACATCAAAGATTATGTCGCCCTGCAACTCGAGTTTCTCTCACGCCCGTGTCATGTTCGTCCACGTCCCGTGATCAACCGTTTTGTGCGTGCCACTCCTCGCTGTGAGCAGACAACGCTTCACTTTCGAGTTTGAAGTTTCAGCGATCTCAAATTCTTTGAAACCGTATGAGCTCAAAGAGAACGCACAGTCGGCTTTTGTGAGCGATGTGAGGGGCCGCACTGCGCCGGTGCTGCGTAAAAGGCTGCCACAGCGGAGTCGCGACCGAAGCTAGAGTACACAGACACCAAATCCAGTTGTTTTGACCGTTTGACGATTTTCTTTTCGAAGTCTGAGAGATCGTCAAACACCTAAAAAAGAGAACTTTGTCCGACGCCCCGACTCGCGGATCATTCTCAGTGCTACATACGTTGAGCGCCGCCATGTTTTCTGACAGGAGAAAAGACCGGGGGCGACATCACTCAAGACTCTGATTATCGGTATTGCAAAAAGATGGGCCACAGCGCGTTTGCAATTGCGTTAAAAAACATGTTTTACAAATTCCGTTAATAAATATTGTGGAAATGTGACTTGCAGAGTTTCTAAATTTCATAATCGATTACTCCACGAATTAAAAGAAGCGAGGAGGTGAAGAGCGAGAAAGAAGGGCGCATGTTAACATTTTTTTTGCTTTCCGGAATTTTTTTGCATGTCTGACTACAACCTGCATTGTTTTTGACAACAAAATTCAAATACGACCTTTGTCAGTGCCCCTCTAAGGTCAGCAGATTCCATACATAGATTGCTTTAGGCGTACATAACAATCTATGTATGGCTTTAGCCATACATAGATTGTTTAGCAAACCAAGACAATGGCAATGTCCAAGAATATGTAACAGAGAAAAAAGCTCTCCAGTGATAGTCAGGTCCCACCTATTACAGAACATTTACACCCAAAAGTGGTAAAGCCGGAGAAGCATGAACAGAACAAATACCATCATCACTGAATATACAGAACCATTTTGTACACTAGCAACACAAAATGAAGAGAAAAAAGATGATTGGAGGCAATGTAAAAAAGCTTGGCATATTTTCTGTTAGAGGGACTGGTGTAGTATGGCTGTACCCCTTAATATGATAAAAAAATGACAGCCCGGATGAAAATTCCGATTAAACATATTTGGAATTCTAACTGGTTTTAACTGGAACCAATTTGTTTTAGTGGGTTCCAACAGGAAGCACGCTGGCCAAGGGGTCTCACCAACTGTAATTATTTCTCTATAGTCAGTGACAGGCCAAGAACAAAGCGGAAGCTCCACCCGCCCCTTTCCACTTCAGCGGAGCAAACGGTAAAGAGGAGGTCGCCTCCTCTTCAGGGTTCGCTCTACTAGAGTGGAAAGAAGTGGGAGCTTTACCTTTGTTCTTGACCTGTCACCGAGTATAGCTGAAACCTAAGTGGGTTCCAAATGGTGGTCCGTTGGTTCCAATTGGCAGTGACCAATGGGTTGTCCAAAAACCCAATTGGCACCAATAGAAAATTCCACTTGGAAGCTAATGGGAATGTTCAACTAGAAGGGTACTATCTGAGGTTGCTGAAAAAAGCTGCAGTCCTTTAGGAAAAGTCCTTAAGGGGAAGTCCTTTAGAGGGCTACTGCACAACAGTGGTTTTGTTTGCAGAGATGTGACATCGGTGGATTGGATCAGGTGGGTCAGCTATTTGGGGTGGGGAAAACGGACAATATACTGGACACAACTGGCCAAAGCACGGCAACATCCAATCTAATCCAAGTATGTCGTATCTATGTGAAAAATCAAGCCGCCGGAAGTTGGCTTGACTGGTGGGCGGTCCGTTCTATGAAGTAGCAATGTGCGGATTCGCTGCAATTGGTCCGGGACAATGCAAGAGAGATTGACCTGCAAATAAAAATTGGGAATTTATTAATATGTCACTATGTTCACGATGTCTACAAGCTACAACAGGGGGAAAAAAAGCAGGCTACAATTGCGACAAAGAGGAAAGCAACTTGCCACATGGTACTTCTATAAACAAAAGTACAAATCGAGAAATTTTCCCGTATCAGCCAAACCAATATAAACTTGTGCCCCATGAAATCACTTGGAATGCATGCCAGGTCACTCATGGTTTGTTTGCAGATGCAAGTTGCCCTCTTAGAGACATATTTTTGAAGTGCCTTCTTTGGGGGCTTACTGTGCACAACCACTAGCGTATTGCTACGTAAGGTTGTTAAGGAAACATGCGTCAGGGGAAATTTTTCGTTTTTTTATTACAATATTGAAATAAAATTACACACACCACAGCGCACTATAGCAAACAACACTCACACCTTACACACGAAAAATAAAGCAAAATTCAAACAAACCGCGCTGACTGACTCTTTTTATATAACTTTGTCTTCTTCAACCTCTAGCACCACCGAATTTCCCAAATCCCGCGCACCAATCTCCTAGATGCCTAAAAATGTTTTCTCTTTTTCTGTCAGGTGTAAAGATGGTGTACTTATACAGTTGTTATAGTTCCTGGCGATATGTTCTGCTTCGATAATTTCTCGAGTTAATTGGTTTCTGTTCCTACCTAAAATTGTACAGGATGGCAAGTGAACGTCGCACCCACAATCCCGGCAGTGTATGCCTAGATGCCCCGAGTTGGCTCTGGAGCTGTTGCTGTTGTGTTCCCGGAGCCTATCATTAAGGCATCGTCCGGTCTGACCTATGTACACTTTCCCGCACGAAAGGGGAAATGAGTACACCACTTCATCGGCACACTCAACGAACCTGTTGTGATGGTTTTTAGTGCAGCATACTGTTCGGTGGAAATCAGGTGAGTTGACTTGTTTACACAAGTTGCCAAGCTTATTGGGAGCAGTAAAGACGACATTGATGTTGAACTTGTTGGCGATTTTCTTGATGCCATGGGAGAACCTGTTAAAGTATGGAAGCACGACAGGTCTCGTAGATCTTTCTCTGGCTCTTGGTGTGATATATGATCTCATATTTTTTGTTTTCAAGATGCTCTCAGCAATCAATGTTAATAATGACGTGGGATATCCGGCGGATGTTAATCTGGAAATTTGGGCATCGAAGCTTATTGAAATAGAATGCTCGCAAGATTTTTGGTGTGTGTAATCATGTGTAACCAACTCGCCCAAGCTGCTACGTTGAAATAAAATTTTTACAGCTTATGGTGCTTAATCTTCTCTTTATAAATTTGGAGTTAGGTTTGATATAGCTCATTATTTTAGGTTCTCGATGCAATGTACAAGCAGAAAAAAAACATGTTCTTGTGCACATGTGAAGCATGGCAACACACTTAGAAAAGCCTAGTAAAATAAACTAATTCACTCCTTTTAAAATACTGAGTGCAATGAACAACAAAAATAATGTGTGCAACACTTCTTTAATTTAAAACTTATTAAAAATTGCAGAAATGCCATTTCAAGGAGCTAACAAATGTTTCCCAAAGTTTTCATAAATATAAAACATGCATTTTAACCAGAACCAGATAGTTTCGTTCTACTTATTCTAAAGTACACTTGAGATAGGACAATAGAACCTTTCCAGAATTGTGAAATGATGCATAGATTATGCGCAGCCGGCATTAGTTGGTCACATCGCTTTCGGCGTGGAGCGCGATTGATTCCAAGTTTGCGCCAAACACTGACGCAGCACTCGTGCGGAGTGTATTTCGATCCGAGTACACTTTGAATGCTGATGAAGTGCTCGGGTCCAATGCGTGCTCACATTGCATGACCAACTAATGGCGGTCGCACATAATCTATACATTTTTTCGAAATAGGTCTATATTAAGAGCAGAAATTCTTGAGCAGAAAGTATGAAGGTGCCCCAAAATTACATAAAAACATAAAAAGAAAATGGGTTTGAATGTCACCACAGAGCAGGGGTGGCCAAAATGTGACGCTGCTGCATAATATTGATTGGGAAGTCTTCTACACTATAATGAATTGCCTGGCAAAAAGGTAAAAAACTTCTTAGGGGTGTCAGTGTCTCTTTAATTTGTAATTTTGAATTAAAATAGGAATGGTCATGGCCCTAAACAAGACAACTTGAACATATTAGGTTTTATCACAGTGAAATTATGTTTGTCCCCATGTACACTCTTCACAGATTTTATGAAGCTTTTGGCAGTGATGCTTAAACTCCAAGTTGAGGAGGATGGTGCATAAACTTTGAATTATTTATATTTTGAGGATAGGCCTTACGTGAAATTGCTTGGTGGTCTGACAACACTGAAAGCGTCGCCATTTTAATGTTGGCAAGCGTCATCAGTACCGAAGCACAATGGAGGCATCGGAGACAACAATATGGGCAGTGTGTGATGGCGCAGCAGATGCGTTTTCTGCCTTCTGATCGGGGAATATGGACGAACAGTTTAAAGAACCTACCGCAACTGTATGAAGAAACTCTCAGAGGCCCGTGCACGCTGCTGTACCATCCCACACTGCCTGTAGGGCTGTTTCTAATGTTTCCACCGTGCTTCGGTACCGACGACGCTCACCAACATTAAAACGGCAATGCTGTCAGTGTTGTCAGACCACCAAGCAATTTTGTATAAGGTCTATTGATAACTTCCTAATGCCAGAGACCATTATGTTCCTGTGCACTGATCATATTAAGAATTACTAGAGAATCTTTAAGTAAAAGCTTAATTTGCAATAAAACATAATATACCAAAATTAGGCCTCGCTTGTATGAGGTCCAGCAACATACAATCTGTTTGCCAAAATAGCCCGGCAAAAGGAATGCAACCATGTTTCATGTTTACAATCACTTCGGAACTAGCCGGCAGACAATAGTAGTTCTGTTTGCCGAGGTCTGTACAAACACCACCCGGAAGCAATGTATAAGGTAGTTTCCTAAGTTTCTGGGGCTGGGCTTATTTGTGAATGTTCATGTGCAGAAGACACAGTGATTTATACATTGTATTAAGAAATAATCCCCCCATACAGAAGTGCAGACTCCTCCAAGTACATCACACAGTAGCTATGGTAGATACTGGTATTGCGAGCAAAGTGTGTTCTGCTCGGCGATTCGGTAAAAATTGTGTTCGCTGAGCAGTGTGCAAACGTTAAGTTCTGGAATCAGATGGGCAGAAGCCCTATGGATATCTACAACACATTGAGGGAGGCTTACAGTCAAAAGCCTTCGAATGGCCTCAACGGCTGAGGGATGACAGGGGAGAGGTCAAGACCATAAGCGTAGCGGGCAGCCAGTTGCTCCCGGCTTCAGACTTTCTAAAAAAAAACAAGAATGGTCTTCTTATCATGACCTCTCGTCCCTAACTTTTAACTGTTTCCCAACATTGCCTGCAAACATAAAAATTTTTGGATTTCAAGCACAGAAAAAGCCAAAAACACATCACTGGTTGAACTGAAAGACATTGTAAAGAATGGGTCTCAGAAATGCTTGGACATTATCTACACCCTCTGGGAGGAATCTGTTTTTACAGGGAAGGGGGGGGGGGGGGGGGGGGGTATTGTGAAAGGTGCATGTTTTCCAGTTTTGTATCTCTGACAATCTGGACCTACGGGCCCAGTCCAAGAACTTTTGGATCCTACATCGTAGATGCCGAAACACAACTTCTAATTCTCCGACACAAGACCTGAATAGACCGATCTCACCAGGAGTTGCGCGACGCCACCGCTGCCGCAATGCATTTTGGTACCTGTAGTTCTCCCCACGGTTCTCTCCCGTTTTCCGGCCGCGTCAATGCACATTGTACGCCGCCCGGCGCTTAAAAATGTTTGGGTTAGCACGAGACTTATACCCGGGTGTTTGCTCATGATTTTCAGTGGGTGGCTTCACCTGTTCTATGCCACGGTGCTACAATAACAACTCCAGGCAAAAAGGCTTCGCATATTATGTCTTCCCGAAAGAAAGCAGCATGGGAAAGAAAGGTAGACAGAGCGGCGGGAAAAATAGCATTTTTCAATTTGTTTCGCGATTTGCTTCATAATTTATATCCACCTATTTATATCAGCTAAAAAGTATAAGATTACAGGGCACCAGACACAGAGCATGCCAAAATGTTCCGTACACTGGAATTTCTCTATGCATCCACTCCGCAGTGGCTTATCCGTTGGTCTATCTCCCCTGCTTTGCTGAGGCCGTTTTTAATACACTTTTTGCTCAATGTATTTTGGTGGTTATAAGTGTTAATGCGACCGCATGTTGCAAGCACAACTGTGCTTCAAAAGATCAAGACAATCACTAAAAAAAATAGCAGCGATTCCCAATATGCATCACTTGAAATAAAACAACTTTTTTCGAAAACAGTTTTCATTTTTTTTTTCATACAAAACGTAAAAACATTACATAATGCAATTTATAAGTGCAACACTCACCGCCAAAAATGTAACAAGCGAACCTTACCTATTTTGTTGCGGCCTATTAGGCTGGCGTTACTGATCCATTCTGCATTAGCACCAATCGAGGTTGCAGAAATAACCTTCCATCGTCGTTTGACTCTTAGCGTTCGGAGCTTGCGGAAACCAAATAAAACTGAATAGAAACCGTACAAGAAAGATCCTCTCCACTCCAAGTGTTCAGCTATCTTGCATGGTTGCTTCTTTTTGACAGATGACAATTGTTGCGGCGCACCAGGCATAGCCTTTCTGTGGATCATTTCTTCTCTGTGTTCAGGCTTCTCCCCGCAGTTCATCTGTACCCTGCTGCACAGGCTGACAAACAGAGTGAAACAACTTTTATAAAACTGTCGCTCACCGAGAAAGTCTATTTAGCTCCTCTTATGTCATTGTTAATTAAACGCGATGCACAGGACTGAGCGATACCAAGCTTAGTTTTTCACCAACATATTTGATGCTGTTCCGCGGTGTTACACAAAGCCGATGGTCCCTCGAATTTTCTTGTTCTTTGCCATTTAACTAGATGTTCAGTTTCTAAGTTAACTGAGACGTCCGAGCAGCCGGAAAACTCTAGTAGTGGCGTCGTTGTTTTTCTCCTGCGGCTGCAGTGGGACCACTGCATGAACGGCAGTGTGCTCACGCATTCACGAAGAAGCAGTTGACGTCGAAGCAGACAACAAAGCTATTCTAAAACGATAAGACGACTGGAACGGCTTTTCTGCGCTTGCTGACAAACTAAGGAATCACAAACAACACAACCTTATGAAGTACAAACGTGCAAGAAAATCCAAGCCGATGCCGGGGTGTTCTAAACGGTTATCTACGATGTATGCGCAGCCCTATGTAGCCGGGAAGCTGGAAAGAGATGACTACAAGCAGCATGGCGGCGGCACCACTTCCGGAATGCGCGCGCCTGCGCAGTTCGCTTGGTGACATCGGTCTATTAAACCAAGGCATTAAACAAAATAAAAAAACAAAAAAACAATGAAGTAAATATGTTTAAGAAAAAAAAAAAAAACTTTCTTTTTTGTTGCATGCAATGACAACACAGAGCATATTTAAGGGCAATTAGCAGTTTGACTCACGTTTCCACTGTTACAAATAACAAAAAAAAAAAAAAAAGATTAAAGAAACACATATTCTAATACTTTGTACAACCAAACAAATAACTGTCAGGGGTGGCTCAGAAACAGCCTCTACAAACCCCGCCATGATTGCAACTTCTCCAGAGTAATATAGAGTCGGCTCCAGAGTAATATAGAGTCGGCACAGCAACGTTGTTAGTTCTAGGGCAAGAATCCTCACCAAGGCTTGCTTCTTTCCAGAGACGGTAGTGGTCGTGCCCTACAAGTGGTTAATGACTTTCCACGTTTCATGCAAGGGAGAAGCTCTATTTATCGCACTACTTTGGAGCATCAACAAAGAAAGGCAGGGTCCCCTCTCTGAAAAACCGGAATAAAGAGCAGTCTGCGTAGTTGCACCAGAACTCCCATCAAAACAACCAGGTACAAAGACAAGCTCGAAACAACCGTAATAAAAACAAAAGCAATGGAGGGGGGCAATTTTCATTCAATAACTGCTGACCAGGCCTCTTCTGTGGCTGAGGTCCCACTAGCTATATATATTTTTTTTTCTCTTCGAAGTGGCTTCAAAAACAAAATAGTTGCTACATTTACCTTATTCCTTTATCTTAAATTGGCTTTAAGACTGCAGTGCTAACCCAGGCGCAGACGGGGGTCTGTAATTTCATTTTTCAGTCTTTCTTTCCTGACCACACCAACTCAAAATCTGCCGATGATGCACACTGAGGCTTCCAGAGACCATGAACTGATCACTTCGTGATTTCCAACAGAAACACTGCAAGTGCCAGGAATTCAAACTGCCCAAAAAATTTCGAAACAGTCGTTTACGGGGACGGGTCGCCTTGTAGCAAGACTTCAAAGAAACGACGTCAGTAATGCCCAAAGCGACAGAGGTTGGTAACACAAAGTAAAATTTTCATAATTTAAGTGCAAAACAAACGAAGGGCATTTACCCTGCCCCAGCCAAGGACTGAGGATTGATTTCGATCACCTGGAGATTTTTTTTTTTTTTTTCACGGCGCCTTGCCGGCAATAAGTATGCGTAGGCGAGGCCTGTGGTTCCCTCACTCACCCACAGTCGATACGACTGTTGCAGCCGAATGAAGCAGAGACCGGCGCGCGGTGCGAACTGTCTTCTGCACAGGAGCAGAAAGGAACTGCCTAGCGTTTAGAACAGCCAAATTGAATGACAAAGCACCCGGGCCAACATGTCGGGGGAAAAGCACACACGCAGCAGTTTCTGAACAGGCGACACATCAAATTTCGGGAAGTCGCGCTATCATTCAACGTTGACACGAAGTTACAGTTGAGACGAGTTTGGATGATTGACCCAGTCGATGTCTAGATGATATAGAGACGATCAAACCTTATCCAGACGAGTCAACAAACACAAACACCCAAGCCGCCCGAGCCGACCGAAGCCACTAGAAGTACTACTGGATTGGGTTGGATGATAATGACTTAACTGATACTGGTATTCCTGGTGGAATGGTTTTCGCTATAAGTTTAATATTCAGTGCTTTATAATATATAAATTTGGAGTAAAAAATTGGTTCTTCACGGTTTACATTCGTGTTACAAAAAAACGTTGTTTTTTATTGTATGTACGCATGATGGCTTCAGTTTCGGTTTCTTTGTGGCGTCTGCGGAAAAAGGCGCACCGGGAATGCGTCGGGGAATGTTTTGAGCGGGCGGCGGAGAAAAGCTCACCGGAGAAAAGCTCACCGGAGAAAAGCTCACCGGAGATAAGCTCACCGGAGAAAAGCTCACCGCAAAACCGGCAGATGCGGAGAAAAGCTCACCGATTTTGTTTTTAACTTAGCGGATTCCGCGCCAAACCTGGCAATTTAACACAATTCGCATTCGTCACCTCATTTGACATATGTCCAGAACATCGTACACCGGTAAAAAAAGACAGCAATTTATTGACAGCTGTCAGTACGCCGTCGGTAGCTCTGTCAGATGAAAAGGTTTTTTCTTTGCGAGCTAATATGAACCGTTTCAGCTCCGAATATTGTGCACTGCCTAATAGAAAAAAAGGCGTTTGTTGATTTAATCAGTGTCCGCTACATGTTTTCTTTCTATTAATTTCACGAACAAACCTTTAGTTGCGAGAACAGCTTCGTCTTGTCGTGTTTGTTGTCTTCACTCAGTCGCCGTCATTTGAGCGGTTTTCATCATGTATAACATTTGCCAACTCGCCCAATTCTCTCCTTTACATAATACGAGTTCTTATATTGTTCACGAGTAACAACAATGCCAGTGTGCGGCTCTGAAGGTCATGAGTGGCTCACCGTAGAAGAAGCACTATCCCACAAAGGCAACGTGCGGATCGCCAGCACGAACGGCTAGAAAACGTACATGTCCGTGGAAGAAAGAAGCCTCGATATCCTACTGACTGTTTTATCCTGTTTTCAAAAGTTAACAAAAGCTTCAAAGAGAATTTCAAGCAGCGTGTTGGTGCGCATCCACTTTCGGATATTCGGCATTTACAATATTGTTTTTTTAGGTTTTAGGCGGACATTAAGTTTTCAACTTTTTCCTGTTCTTCAAGCTCATAAAGCTCTCAGTTAGGCTTTCGTTGCCTAGAGAGCAGGCCACAAAAAACACTCGCCGGCAGTTATTATTTTGGGAGCAGTATACCCAATAAGCTTAACAAATATTACAAAAAATTAGATTTTCTTTTTTACAAAGTTGACGAATTTTAATGATAAATTGATATATGTTACGCATGATCCAACAGCCTTTATATAAATAGAAGAAAAAAAAATCGGTGAGCCTTTCTCCGCATACGCTCAATGGCCGGTGAGCTTTTCTCCGCATCCGCCGGTTTTGCGGTGAGCTTTTCTCCGGTGAGCTTATCTCCGGTGAGCTTTTCTCCGGTGAGCTTTTCTCCGGTGAGCTTTTCTCCGGGATTCGTTTTGAGCGGATGGTTCAATTTCTAATGGTCTCGCCTTTAAAAGGGCTGTGCAACAATATTCAGTTGGAATGTTTTTTTTACTCTACACGAGCTTACTGGCACTAGTGGGACTCCATGATACTGACACGCAACGCCACTGGCCAAGAAACTCCTTTGTTGCGGTGTAATTTCAAAGACAAAAGCGGGCGTTTTCATTCAATCTCTCCTTCGCACAGCCTGATGAGTTAGAAAAATTGGGTTGTATGTATGTTTATACAGCCTAGAACTTGGTCTGCCTCAACGGGCGACTTGTCTTCCAGCTGTAGATGAGAAATTTAGCGAATGCAGTACAACTGCTAACCTGGAGCCTTTACCGTGCACCACGCAGTGATACATGACCGCACGCCGCTACGATGCTCATCCAGATCGAAACCGGCAGGGGTGTAGATTGAGCCCAGGATCCCTGGGTTCTGCAGCGCGAGCTATCGCCCACGTGCTTTGGGCTGGTGTGCGCTAGCCGGGCTAGCCCTCTCGGCCACCGACCCCTGCCCGTCCCGTCTGCGCTACCGGCGGTCGCCCTCTGATCGGAGGCCCTATTCCCAAACGTCTATCGTCTTCTCAAGATCCTAGCGACTCTGCGCGTAACAACGTCGGAAGATGAGCGCTCGCTTTTCACTACGACGGTTCAAAAACATACCTGAGAGCGTCGCATTGATAAAAGAAAAGGTAGGTGGACTTGCAGTGAAGTGATGTGAAATTATACAATTTCCCTTCACATTTGGTAGGACATCTGGTGCGTCACCCTTTATTCTTCTCAGTGTTCTTCCACTCGTGCGCCATTTTGGTGCCACCGAATACCGGCTTTTCCACTGCATCATGCGCTATCGAAAAGCGACGTCAGAGCGCACGTGACTTTCCTAGCAGTGTGTCATTCTTTGTGGTGGCGTAGCTGGGCCATCCTTAAAGGAGCTGTGCAACGATATTCAATTGGAATGTTTTTCTCTCTACACGAGCTTACTGGCACAGCTGGGACTCAAGGATACTCACGCGCAACGCCATTGGCCAAGAAACTCCTTTGTTGCGGTGTAATTTCAAGGACAAAAGAGGTCATTTTCATTCAATCTCTCCTTTGCAAAATTTGATGACGTAACTCGGGGATCGCAGTACACCCAAGTGACGATATTTGAATGCGGTTCATAGATTGGACCCGAGCATTGCGTGGGCACTCGACTTGGGCTCGTGACAATTGCTAGCTCGAGAAGCATTCGGGTTGTGACCCGTGTCCAATCGCTGCAACGACGACAACAGCCGAGTCATAACAATGTCTGGAACTCAGCGCGTGTCCTGTGCTTTGCCAACCCCAGCGCGTGGCTATGATCAACACTGGCGGCATATAATCGGCTCCAGATCACGTGGCCGCTTGTTCTGGCTGCGAGTTGAGGGGGTGAACGCTGCTCGTTTTTCTTAAATTTTTTTCTGGGACTTCTATTGCGTGGGGTGAAAAACGAACGCGCGTTTCATAGGTCATTAACGTTAGGGATCCGTTTTAAGCGGTATTTGTGCACAGTACAAAAATTGTTGCACAGCTCCTTTAATGAAAAGCCCTTAGGTTTTTTGTCACCCCCCCCCCCCCCCCCCCCCTAATTGAGTCCCCGAGATCGCAACCAGTAAAGCGGGGGGTGCCGGGTGCCGCCAGGGATGCCCCCCCCCCCCCCCCCTTCCCCACGTAACTGAGACTCCCGAGGCCCAGGCCTCATCTCCCCCCCCCCCCCCCCCCCAACACACACCCTTTTATTTGCTACGCCAGTGGGACGGTGCAGAGTTTAAAAAGTTACAAAGACCTGTCCCACCAAAAAAAATTGCTTCGCCGTTTGTGTCAGCTAGTGTGTCTACTTGCAAAAGGTGGTGTGCGAGGAAAAGAAGTGTCGCGATGCCTAGGTTCGTTTTGTCTTTCGAACCAAAGGAGAAAAGTTGGAATCGCACGCATGGGCCGCTACGTCGCTTTCCAGGAGTTGCTTTCCAGGAGTTGCATCATAAAAATTGGAACGTTCTTAAACAGTAAAAGTTGATGGCAAATCGAACGAATCAGACAATTGTCCCTTTCATGGGTGCCAGGCTCTCCAAAACCTTATTTATTCATTCTGTCTCTCGTTTCATTTAGATATCAAACTTCACCAAAACAAAAGTTACATTACATACTCACACAGCTTTACTTATAACGAATATATCTATATATTTGTACTACATATATATGCAGATATTTAAATTCAGGGTTTCCAACGTACTTCGGATTTTATTTCGAAATGCTCCAGATCTGACATCTCGTCTCTCCGAAGTCGTCGAGATTTCGCATATAGGAGCTTCAAATATGCTCAAAAATTTGAATTTAGGCAGTCCAAGGAGCTGCAAGGCGCTAAAAAAATATTCAAAAAGCCTGTGTACGGTCCCAGAAGTGTTCCTTGAGAGACGATCGCGGCCCGAGCAGGTTGGCTTCACAGCGCAACAGCACGTCACCGCAGGAAAGAGAAACAGTTCGGCGTCCTCCGGGAAGTGGCGGCATCTCGTGGCGCGCCGTGCACTCTCGGTAAGCGCGGGAAAGTAAAATGGAGGATCCCACCCTCGACTTGGCGATTGACGGGAGAAGTATTATTTTTAATAAATTGTACTTTAATGTTCATTTCAAGGTCACCAAGTGAAAGCATGAAATGCATGTAAAATCTTTTTGCCCCTCCTGTATATAACAGACATCTTGGTCGAAATTTTTATTACGGATATTTTTTTATTGCAGTCGAACTACAACCATGCACCTTATACAACAGAAGGTTTGACTGGGATTCTAAGTTTTTACACAAGTTTCATTTATGATAAAATATGTTTGGGAACAGTTTCCGCGGAAATGCTTGCGCGCGCTTGCGATGAAAGGAGTCCACGCACACTCGTCGCTTCTGAGATTCGTCTTCCTGCGCACTTTTTTCTTCTTCTTTTTTAATAAATGATATAATTGTTAAAAATTGTACACTGTTGGCACACGTGCAAAACAATCAATGAATGCGTGGATGATTTATTAATATTGTTGCTTTCATTGCTGCTCTTTAATAAATAGAATTGTTACAACTAAGAACTTGATATTTTTAACCCGTGCCGCCAGAACTTTGATAAACGGATGGCACACCTGTTCGAGTCGGGACAGAGATAGGCAGCACGAATTATTTGAACTGATAGCCTCCAAATGTTCTGTCTGTGCAGTTTGCTTGTCTTTTTTTTTTTTTTTTACAGTATGAAGTATAATTGCTTTGTGGCTCTGTAGGAATTCAAATTCAT